AAACATAGTCTAAAAATGAAGCCAAGGATGTGTCTTCAAAAAACAAAGACTTTAGACATTCTTAAAGTGATGCTCCATAGACCTTTTCGAAAAGACAAAAGATTTTCTAAGGATCTTAAGGGTGTGCCTCTTACATTCTCTCTGTTAAATAATAGAGTATCCAAGAATGTTAAGGGCAAAAGCCCTAGGTAGACAAAGGCTCATTTTAAAAAGACCTGTGTGTATAGTTTTATCTAATGGAATGGATATAACTTGATATATAAAAAGCCAACAGTTTGTTTTTTTTTAAAATATAATTATAATTGCTTGGCCTTAAAGCAACAGAGCCAATATAAAAGGAAAAGAAGTTTTGAACTCCCGATTTATTATTGGTAGGGAGCAGGCTCTTTAATTGCAAACACATACTACCTTTTAATTGGAAGAGAAAATATGCTTCAGATGGCAAAACTAAGAGTCCAAAGTGTGGGGCCAAGAGCCAGGAAGAACAACTCATAGGAAGTAGCACTGAGCCTCATTTAAGGAACTGCCAACATGTGCCCAGTTGGATTTCAGAAGTGCTATGAGCTAGCAACTGCTGTATCTTCTCATTTTCTCTGTTCTTGAATGGAAAGGTCTATTGCAATAATCTCATCATACCATGGTCTCTTGGGGGTAGAGAGTAGGGACAGATAATTGTCTACTCAGTTAAGAAGTTTTCAGAGAGGAGAAAACCACATCCAAGAAACCAAACCCAAATAGTCTCATCTGCACCTAGACCTCAGAATTGACCCTGATGCTATATAATGGAATCAGACCTATTGGTGAGCATATTTTGTATGTGGAATGAATGTAAATAATATGCGATCAGAGAGCATTGATTTTAAAACAAGACCACAAAACAAAATTCTTTGACCCACCCCATTGGGAGGGTTGGTCTATACTCTCTTCTATCAAATCAAGACCATCCTTAGTGACTTATTTGTAAACATTGTAAATCAGTAGAAATTATACTATGTGACCTCTGAAAATAAGTCAGAAAAAGGTCATATAGCTTCTACCTAGTTCTTTGGTGACTTTCCCCTTCAAAACTACTTTACCATGTAAGAAGTCCAATCATCCCGAGACCATCATGCTTTGAGTAAGCCCAGGCCATGTGGAAAGGCCACATATAAATGCTATGGCCAGCAGCCCCAGTTGACATCACAGTAGACTGGAATAACAACCACTAGACACATTAGTGAAGATAGTCCAGGTGATTCTGGCCTCCAAGCTATCAAGTCACCCCCTCATCAAGATTTTGAGGCCCCTGACGTCACTGAGAAAAGACAGTGTCCTCATTGTGGCCTTCCAAATTCTGGACCTATCGAAACTCTGAGAATAGGAAAATGATTGTTTCATGCCACCAAATTCTGAAGTAGTTTTTCATGTTATGATAGTAACTGGAACAATAGTATAAAGTAAGAATTCACACTTTCAGTTTTCAAACAAGAAAACCAGAATAAAGAGAAGTTAGTTAACCAGGGTCACAGAGAAGCAAAGCAAAAATTCTAAAACAGACCTATATGATTCTAAAATTCATGTTTATAACCATAAAACTACACTATTTCCCACAGATATCCCTATCTCTCCATCTTTCCTTATTAACATTTCCCCTGCTAAGGATTACATGCCCACATTTATCTGCTTCTCTAAGACCAAACCATTATTCAGGGCCATATTAACTCCTATCTCTTCCATGAAGCATATGCCTTGACTCCAATCCTTAGCAATTTCTCCCTCTTCAAAACTGTCTTAACTTATTTTCCACAACTTTAATTTGACAATTAGTGAATGTTAGCAACACTAATTCGCAGACGGTGAATTCATTGTTTTTCTAATGCACATGCCTCGGCTACCCTCTTGAATTGTGTCCCTAGACAAGGGTTGAAAATCCAAATGTCTAGAGAATGAAAGCAGGTAATATGCAACAGTGAAGTGGACTAGATGCGAAAGGACAAAAGTGGCCTTAAGTTACACTGGGAAGCAAATGCCCCAAGTAAATGGGTCGGCCACCACTCAGCTTCAGCACACTGCTTTTCTTCATAGCATATATCACCCACCACCTGACATAGAATGCATTTATTTGTTTATTGTAACTCTCTCCTCATTAAGATTTAAGTTTCTTGAGAATAGAAACCTTGTCTGCTTTGTTCACTGCTATATCACCAGAGCCTAGTGATATATATCTGACGCTCAGTCAATAAATACCTGTTGAAGGAATAAATGAATGAAGAAATACAAGCAGTAATGTTGGCCCAGTGATCTTCCAGTTTTTCAAGAGAAGCTAGAAATAATTTTATATGCAATATCCCAATTTCTAAATGCTAACAATTAATCAGAAAAATGGTAATCTATTTTTGGGATGGGTAGAGAAAACACATATGCAGGCTCGAATTCAATCTGAAAGCTACACCCATAATCTCTGTCTAGAGGGATCTTAGACTGGTTTTTATCTTTCTAATTACATAGGATAGTGCCTTACAGAGTGTAGATAACTTGATAAGCAAATAATGATGATGCTTCAAATATGCACACTCGAGGCACTGTTACAATTCAGCTGTATTTTATTAAGATGCTACTCAAGTTGCTCTCTCAGATCCCGAAGGAAAGTGTTTCAGCTTCTGATCCAAAATGACCACCTGGACTTCACATAGCCATCCCATTTCCAAGATTTTGAAGCTAAACTTCTACTCCTTCCAGCTGTGAAAAGTTGAGAAAGGCAATGAAAAAAAAGATTGACAGAAAAAGAGAACCAGGTTTTGAACCATATTTCCACAGGTATAAGGTTCCCGATGACAATTTTGTTTTTCTTTTTACTATTCTTAGTATTTTTACATTATACAATACAAAATTTTATTTCAGTTGACCTTTCAATGTTTTCTAGTAGCATATTTCATCTTTCCCACATAAAAATTAAGGAGGAATTTTAAAATGTTTACTAATTACTTAGATTCTTAACTAATAAAAAGTCACATCTAAATAATTAGTATGTGTCTGGTTTTAAACCTGGGTCACTTCAGCAGCAAGCATAATTGTGGAGGGCCAAAAACATATTTAAGAAAACATACTGGGAAAAAACATTTCCATTGTACCCTATGCTGCTAGCTGACCCACAACAAGTGAATCATCAACTTTTGAAGATGTAAAAGGAAAGGAGATTCGGGTTCCTTTTCTCTGTATGGTCTAATGTGTACAGCCTTGAAATATCAATAGGAGACATCAACAAACATCAGAGGAATTCAACCTATCAAATGAGTATAAGTCCAAAAGAGTAAAATGTCATCTAACCCTTCTAGAGCCAGCATTTATGACGTTATTTTAATGATTATGTAGATGAATTCGCTACATGTACTTCTTCAATAATGGCATTAATTTTGTATGCAGGCAGATTTTATTTATTTTAAATAAGCTCCAGTGATTTAAATTGAAAGTAACAGTGAGAAAAATTTATTTAGCCAAACTTATTTTTCAAAGTTTAGGTTATTATAGGGTTATGAACTTCCTACAGAATAAGAATTTAGATTTCTATTCACTTCTTTTGTTAAGTTCAAGCAATACTAAATATGATGGCCACTGGATGGGAAGAATCACTATCTGAATTCTCTTATAGACACACAGGTGAGACAGTGAAACAGAGCTCCTAATGCACAGAGCAGAAAAGCCCGAAATTTAGAATGAGACCAGCAGAGGTTTGACTTGTGTCTCTACCACTTGCTTACTTTGAGACACTGGGAAAGTTACTTAATCTCTTTAAGCCTCAATTTACTTTACTCATTTGGAAAAATGGAGTCATAATACCTTTCCTTAGGATTGACACAAAAATTTAAATAAATGCATATTTATTATGTAAGCCATTGAAATGAGAAAGGAAGTTGTTAATTCAGCATGGCCGACATAGCCTGACTAATGTAATGCAATAGCATGCAAAAAGTGCCTAGAACACCATGGCATCACAAATGGTAGCTGTCATGGAGAGTCTGACTGATTCTTATTATAAATTTAATACAAACAGTAATTTTCCAGCCTTCTTATATATCACCCTTCCCTAAGCACATATTTTTATACACTTGAGTGCTATGGGCTAAAAGAAGCTTTATACCTTACAGAAATTCTAGCAAATTGGCAGAAGAACTTACTTCTGTACAAAAATGTTTACTAGAGCATTGTTGTTAAACATTGAAAATCAGAAAAATTAAAATGTTAATCTATAGGACAATGACAAATTTCAATATATTCAACCATTCTATTCAGATAAATCACAAAAAATATATAATTTTAAGTAAAAAAATAAAATGAAATGGAAGTTGCAGAATGATATCTATAATATAAAACCACTTATATAAAAATCTTATTTAAAGCATGACATGTATTATAAATGAAAATACACATACTTAATAATTATATAATAATATGCATGGAAATGGCAAATACCAAATTCAGGAGAGTAGTTAACTCTAAGGAAGGGGACAAGGCATGAGATCAGGCAGGAGTACACAGCGAGCTTCAACTCTATCTAATGTTTTACTTTCTCAAAAATTGAATTAGACCGAAACAAAGATGGTAAAATGTTTAGATTCTATAGACCTACCTAGGAGATATATGGAGGGTACAATGTTAATTCTCCATATTTTCCTTATATTTGAAATACTTCACAATAAAAAGAAGCAGCTTTCCCAGTAATACAAATAGAAACAGACGATTTCCCAAAACAGACAATAGCTGCTCCAGAGATAGGAGATAAAGAGGAACAAGGATAGCAGGGGTGGGGAAGGTGGTTAAAGGAATAAGAGGGCTGGGTATAGAAGTGATGTTCCTCTCTGACTCTTTGAAACTAGGAAGATAATTTTCCTCCTAAGGGTTAAGGGAAGAATTCAGCTATATAAATGAAAAGAGGAGAGGAATGATTCATTATTAATCCAGAATTAAGGTTACTTTACAGAGTGTATATCATTCAAAAACATCATTAAGTTTAAAATACTTACTACAACCCCACTCTTGGTGGTAGTCTCTCTGTATGTGAAGTTGCAAATAGCCCAGGCTAAATAATATGTGGACATAAGAGGGGTCTGTGAAAAGTGATCCGTAACCCATCCATCTTCCTCAAACACGGAAGTTTCCACTGGCATATTGGATAAAGATAAATAGGTTGCTTGATGCTTGATGCTGATTTTAAAAGTAGCCTTGTAGATGGGCTCGTCAAAACAAGGAAATGCCTTTCTGGCATGTGTAGGCGAAAACTGAGTAACACCAAGGAATCTGGAAAAGAAAATGACATTCCCAATTACATTTACGGCTTGAGTTATAACCACTTCACACACTTCTCTGATAATATATTTTTGTCAAATTGTAAGATACTATTATTTTCTGAACCAAAATTAGGTGCATGAATAGCATGAAAGTACAACTCATATACATTTCCCCAATAATAAAAGTTTTCCAGGGAAATTTTTGTCTCATAAAATTCTCTAAACCCAGAGCACCGCCTATTGGACGAAACATTACAACCTACAAAACAAACAAACAAACAAACAAAAAAGCTCATTGACATCACATTGCAAATACTGAAAAATAATAATTCACTTTTTTTGTATGCTTCACTTTCCTCGCTGAAGCTACATCATGTAAAGACAGTGAAGCTAAAATCTAGAAGCTACATCATGTAAAGACAGTGAAGCTAAAATCTAGAAGTTGTCATCAGGAACATATGGAACATATACCATCACACTGGGAAACATCTGTGCCCTCAAATTTTTGCAAGACATCGCCTGATTTTATTAAGAAAAAAAGACTTTGAAACCTGACAGAACTTGGTCTGAATTCTGGCTCTACAATATTCTTAGCTATATCATCCTGGACAATTACTAAATTTCCCTAAGGTGTAGTCGTTCATTGCTTAAAAGGAAATAATCAAGCTTAACTCAAAAAAGAATTATAAATCTTAGGGCAGAAAAAAGAGAATGTAAAGCACCTATCACTGTAAATAGATGAGTAGCACCCAACGGCAGTTAATAAATTGAAGCCAGTCAAAAAATGGCAGCCACTAATTCACAGTATCTTCAAACTCTCTTGGAGTGTTATCGCATATGTTTTCATTGAATAATCCAGAGACCATTGGTTTTTACTACTCATAATATATATGTATTATGTCATGATATACTAATATAACAAATATCAATATAATAAATGTCGATGTGTGTTTTACTATAAAATTTTATATTTAACTATAAAATATACATTTAATGCCCTCAAGTTTTAATATTAAGCTGCAAAGTTGCTTATTAAAACTCTAACTAGAAGTAACTTCTATATTCGTTCACATTTTAGGATTAGAAATGGAAACACTCATATTAAGTACTTTAAGAAAGACACTCTTTTACATTAAAAAAGGCTGTTATTTACGAAAACATTCATGACAACACTTAAACATTTTAACTACTAGTTGTAAAACTCGATATAAGGCATGTCAACATCAGACCTTTTGTAAAATATTAAGAGTTCTAAAGTAATTCTTTAAAAGGCTGTTTCCCTCATAAATAGTTCTGCCACCTCTTCCTTCTCCAGCATCCAAGGTGTACATGGTTCATCTAACATGGCACACTTTCCCACTAAGTCTGAACTTGGCCTCAGAATTATTCTCAGCACAGCACTTCAGGCAGCTCCTACCAATCAATAAGGGTTGACATGTGAATTGAATCTTATTGGCTATCCCTATCTCAAACCATGAGGTGTAAATGTTTATACCATTTTAAAATTATGAAGCTTACATTTGTCATCAAGGGCTTACCTTTTTAAAGCTTAGTTTTGAAAAAGAGAAAAATAAGACATTTTTAAGATTAATTGCATACTAAGTCTAAGAGAGAGGGTTTTTGAAAGTTATCTTGGAAATAGTACGGAGCTGCTACACACAAGGCTTGGGTAAATCACTTAACTGCTTCAGCCTATTTTTTCATTAGTGGAAGGAAACGATAATGTTTTCTAGGCCTTCCTTACAAAACTGTCGAGATGATAAAATGAGATAATATATGGGAAAGTTTTAGCTATAAATCTTCAGACAAATATAATGTTAAAGTTGGAAGCAATCTTAAAAACAAATTGTCCAGCTTTCATAAATTTCTAAATTGAAAAAGCAGTTCCTGTAGGGTTAAGTGATTTGTCCAAAGTTACACCAGCAATTAGTGCAAAGCTGGGTCTAGAATTCACATTTTCTGTGTCTGAGTAAAAGGTAATTATATTTCAAAAACTAAAATTAATCTTTAGCCAAAATTTATAAACAATGTTTTAATTTGTTGATTAAAAAAAAAGTTATTTCCAAATCTGCCAAATTCGTGGTAATAGTCTTCCCTATTATTTTTACTGATAGTAATATAATTTTTGCTTAATGAAATATTAGTACCTTTTAGTTAAAATACATACATTTACAATTTTCTCATCACTTGCTTTTGTCCTATATAATGTTCTCGAATCTTATCTTTCGATTTTATTAATTGAAATGTCTACTGAGCTTAATCTTTCTCTACTGAGGCTCCTTAAAAGATACCTATGGGATTACATATATGAAAAATGGTGTTCTCTTTTAACTTTCAAGTATCTGAGAACTGCAATTCTAGTCACTGAACAAACAGATATTGTCTGCTATGTGTGAGCTGTTCATTATATCAGGTACATGGTAGGATTTTTTTTAAAAATATAACTATTTTTGCCCTTAAGTTATTTGCAATCTAATTGAAAATAATATCTATACCTTTATATTTCTAATAATACTAGGGGAAAAGTTCTATAAGAGTTCAAGAGAGTGGTTGCAGTTAGAATGTATGTCATTATGTAAAAGTCAAAGGTGTCTTTGGCATTAAGTAACTAATGGGTAGGAATTTATTAGATATAGAGATTCTAAATACCTTTGGGGTAATGAAAGATTAATAAACCAAATACTTATGCGGAATTATGTCGTTCATGTCTCTTTTTTGCCTTACACAGTAAGTAAATATGTTAGTAAAGCTAGCAATTGAAGGAAACTGTAGAGATCATTTAGTGACTTTTTCTGCAATTAATATTCTTAATGAATTCATACACACAGTATATATCTATGCACAGAGGGCCAACATATATTCTGATAATGTCTAAATGAGGAAATACCAATTTCACAGTCTGGTACCTAAGGACGATCACAACTGAATTTCAATTCAATATTTAGGAAATCAAAAAAAAAAGTCCCTTGGTAAAGAAGAGCAGTTGGATTAGATTACATTTAAGGTCTTATCCAAGCTTGAGATGCTATAAGTGAACAAAAATTAGTAATAAAATATTTCCTGAATTTAATGAGGTTTTTAAAAATGTTAAATGACGCTACCACTAAATCACTTCTTACTATATATTCTTTAATGTATGTGCTTCTCTTAATCATTCATTTTTGAGTGTTTAATACTGAGGAGAAAAAGAAATATCTTTGCTTCCTTCCCTCAAGGAGTTTATACTCTAAAAAAAGAAATTTTACATATGCCTAAACAGGAATCAGACAAAAAGCCATGACAAAGAGGGAAAATGTATGAAGAAATTACATTCTCCTACAGCAGGGTTTCTCGGTCTCAGCACCACTGACATTTAGGTTGGATAATAATTCATTGTTAGGGGCCGTCATGTGCACTGTAGGATGTTTAGCAGCATCCCTGGCCTCTACCGCTGGATGCCAGCAGCTCCGTTTTTCACTAGCTATTACAACCAAAATGTCTCCACACACTGCAATTGTCTTCTGAAGGACAAAACTAACCCTGTTGAGAACCACCAGCCTGAAGAACTGAAGGAAGGTTTATGGAGGAAGAAACATAAGAATTGGTCTTGAAGAATGGGTAGTATTTTAAGAGTCGGAGACGATGGAAAAGTGAGCAAATTGACTATCGGTAGCACAGAAATAAGGCTTTAAAAAAGCTTTGAATTGCATATTAAGTTAGTGCCTTGTTTGCTCTCTTACAGATTCTGGTTTTATCAGATCTCAGTATGGCCAGTCTATCTCTAAAACCTCTCTCACCCTTGGTACTCTCCTTTCTAACAAAGAGTTCTAATTTCAGGTTCTGTGCCTTTCACGTGTCTGTTGGGTTTCAGAAATATAATTTTGTCTTCACTACATATATTTTAGGGTTGCTTTCAATTAATGGAAGACTTCTTTTCTGCTTATTGTCATTAAAACATCAAAGAGGCCTCTAGAGAAGTGATTTGAAGTAGAAAATAATGAGTTTGGAGTTGAGTAAATTCGAGATGAATTAGAGGTGATAGCAAGACACCAGGTAGAAGAAATACCGAAAAAATAAAAATAGAAAACATTTTAACATACCATATGGCTAGAAAGTATATATGTAAATACAGCAAAAAACTAAAATAAAACAGTGGGAGGCAGAAGTTTACGAGGACAAGTATTTTGTTGTCTGTTTTTCTCTTGCTTTCTTAAACAAAATCATTTTTATCTTTTAATTAATCCCTCTATTAGCATTTAAAAATTCCACTTCCAAAAGTGACATCCTGGAAGTGTCATTCCAAGAATGTCACCTTAGCATAACCAGAAAAATACAAATAACATATCTGTATTTTAATTCTATTTTATTTAAAATAAATTACTTAATTTCTTAACAACTTGTCCATTTGACACTTTGGTTGAGCCAAGGAGAGCTTAAAGCTCTATGTTGCCTCTGAAGGATATAAAAAATTGATTTCTTCCTTTTTCCGCGGAAGTTCACTAGGCAAGCTACTTGTGTCAAGTCATTATGAAAAGATTCAGCAGAAATAATGCATTAATGTTGGTTGATATTGCCAACAAATTACAGTGTGTGATACAAAACAATTTCTATTCCTTTATTTTCAGTTTGCCTTTTCATAAAGTTAAAATATGCAGAGAAAATAAACATTTGCATAACACTGTTAGTTTTCAGATTGATTCACAACTTTTCACTGTGGAACCCACTAAAACCAAGAGAACCTCACAAATGGCATGGCATATTTGAGAGGTTTCCATTTGGGCTACATCTATGCATACCACACATACAGCACAGTGAAAAATGATCTTTGAACTTAATTCTATTGCAATTGCAAATTGCCTAGTGTTACAATAGTTTAAGAGTGGTGATAAAAACTCCCAAGATCTAAAGAAAAGTTTCAATGGACCATCTAGTTACTATTCAACTGTTTGCAGTAAATAGACTGTTACAAGGTCATGGAAGTTACACACGTTCCATTTAAAGTTAAGGTTGTTAATCAAAATGCAAATTATT